ACCAGCGATTCCGGGTCCGGGCGCGTCCCGGCGCGCACAGGACTCGGGCTGGGAACACCAAAGTCCACCGAAAAGTCTCCTCGTGAAAAGGGGCCTGGGGCGGAGGCGCACGCCTGTGATCCAGCACCCCGGGAGGCTGAGGCAGGAGGGTCTCGGTCGGAGCCCAGCCCGGGAGCTGAGCGAGCTCCGACAGGGTGACAGCGGGGCGCAGGGACTCACGGGCTGTGTCTCGGCGGCGTCTCCCTGTGGGGAAAGACCGGAGGGGGTGACGGGGTGCGGCTGTGGGAGCGCCTCGCCGCACCCCACGGTGTGCGATCGCGCAGCCTTCCGGGAAGGCGGGTTTCCAGACATCACCCCGTCTTCCTTCGTTTTCCTTTCCTGGGACTCGGGACCTGAGCTCCGCCCAGACCCCTATGTTTCATCTCCAGATGGGCCCGTCTCCGACTGGAGATCGCCCCGCCTCGGCCTCCCGGGCAGCGGGGTACCTTTCTCCGGATGTCCAGCTCGTAGAACAGGGTGCTGGGGCTCTGGTCGAACCTCCGAGCCGGGTTGTCCCAGTGCACGACGAAGCCCATGCCCGCGGGGCTGACCGACACGTTGGCGGGCGGTGTGTACTTCTCTGGGCCGACACAAACCGGAAATCACCCTGCTGCCCCGACGCCCGCCACAGCTGGGCTTTGCTTGGTTTCTTGAGACGGAATCTCGCTGTGGAGCCCAGGCCGGCCTCGAACGCCCAGCGCGGCCCAGACTGGCTTGGAATTCGTGGAGATCCTCCCGCCTCAGCCTCCCGAACGCACAGGCGTGCCCACCGCGCCCGGCTCGTTTTCCCGCTCCCAAGCGCCCACCTGTCCCTCGAGTGACCCCAGGGACACCGGTGGCCTCTCCTCCTGACCCTGTGGGCATTTCCAGGCCCCGACCTCTCACTCCACACTGCCCCGGGGCTGACGGAGGAGAGGCTGGAGCCGGGGACTCCTCCTGGGGGGGCACCCGACGGTCTCACCGATGAGAAAGGCCACAAAAGGCAGTGTGTCCAGGAACGGGATGGTCGCCTCGCTGCTGGTCCCATTGACCAGGAAGAAGTAATTGTCAGAGGTCTTGGGCTCCCCGCCGAGCCGGGTGAAATGGCAGCCCACACGCAGCCCCTTTGAGTCCAGGAGGTACTGGGGGCATTCGGCCTCTGCTTCTTTCCTGGAGGATCCAGACAGCCGCGCGGAGTCGGAGAGAAAACCAGAGAGAGTCTGGGGTGCGGGCCTGGGGTCCCGCTGGGGCCCGGAGCCTGAAACCCCAAACAGCCCCCTGCAAGACTGGCGTGCTCGGCTGTAAGAACAGCCCCTCAGTTCTGTTCACTTCCGCCCAGCTGGCTGCTGTCTGCAGTCACCCCAGCCCTCCGTGAGGCTGAGGCAGGATGGTCCCAAGTTCCGGCCCTGTCTGGGCCGCTGAGTAACTCAGCGATACCCCGTGTGAAGATGAATAAAAACAGGTCGGGGCTGGAGCTCGGTGGTAGGGCTGTGAGTTCCCCGTACCGACAAGGAAAGTGAAGGAGGGAAAAAAAATAAGAGAAAGCAAAGGAAATCAGACCGCAAAGGCCACTGAAGAGATGTAGGTGAATTGTCTTCTGGCCGTGGCCCTGGTGCGGTGGTGTTGCAGGTGCACTGGGGATAGAACCCAGGGTCTTTGCGCTGAGCT